CATAAGTGAAACAATGTGTAAATCACTATTAAAAACATCATGTAGAAACGCCTGCTCATCGAAATGTTTGAATCGCCTCTTGTGAATGAGACGTGGCTTTCCTTTAGGGATCTTACAGGTTCTCACACAAGCAATTGCGCAGTGGTCGCTTATATCATTACAAAACGTGCCTACTGCGGAGAAACGGTGAGGTGCGTTTGTAAGAATAACATTAATCAAAGTGGACTTCTCTAAATCTTTTTGGTTTAACCGAGTTGGCGAGTTAACTAGTTGCACCAAACAGAGAGAGTCACAAGTGTCCTTGAAAGAGTTTTGTAAATCCGTTTGCCAGTCCCAGTTTAGGTCTCCGAGTAAAACCATCTCGGATTTAGTCCAGTTATGGAGAAGATTGGAGAGTATATTCGTGGCTTCGCTTGAGGCAGCGGGCGGGCGGTAGCATCCGACCACTATAATGTCTGAACCACTTGGGAGCGATAGTTTAATTACAGAGTGTTCAAAGCATTTTGGTTTTGTTAGGGATTCGATGCAGGTGCAGTCTAAATGGTTTTTAACATAAATCGCAACCCCGCCCCCTTTTCCCACACGGTCTGTTCTAAAGACATTGTAATCTTTTATATTTATCATATCATTTGTAATCGACTTTTTGAGCCACGTCTCAGAAAGGACAATGATATCAGAGTCAGTCGAATCGGCCCATATTCTGATGGAGTCCATCTTATTAATCATGCTGCGAACATTAAGGTGAAAAAGACGTAATCCGTCTTTCGTTCTAAACTCCTCTGGCGTTTGCAGCTGAGACAGTTCTGGGCCTGGATTCGGTTTCACGTTACCCGACATCAGGAGTAGGAGAATTAGAAGCCAGGTCCTCCTCGCTGGGCTGGTCGGCTTGCCGTCGCAAGTGCGCGCTGCATAGGGGGAAAGTCTCCCATTTCCCTGGGCCCATAGACAGCGTAGTCCTCGCGGCAGAACCCCGGGTAGATGAGACGTCCATGAGAGAAGGTCCTCCGCGAGCAGCGGGGTTGTCATCATGGCAAAAACTCTTACTGGATCCGGGGAAGCCATGGTGCCTGGGGTAGGCCACACATCAAGCACAGGTGTGTCTTGTGGGTGTTCAGCGTCGGGAGCGACACCGGTCCCGGAGATCCCCAGCACCAGGTAGCCGACCAGGTAGAGTAGCAGGGGAGGTAGCCACATCATCACGTAATCATGATCAAATATCAAATTAGGCTTCATCAAAGCAGCAACACACTCATTTAAACCAGACATTTCAGCAATCAGCATTGAAACATGTGCTATTGTAAATATTTTGCCGACTTACAAATTAGTGAGATGCATGTGCCTGTCGGGGAGCGCAGAATTTTTTTATCCTTGGTGGCACTGAGGAGAGGGCCACTCGCATGTCCTGTTCAACAGAGAGCCGTGACCTCCTGTTGTTCTTCATGTAAACCAGAGTAGAGAACGCCAACTCCAGAGATTGGGTCGTTTCTATTTTTAAAAAAAAAATATTACATATTACTTTAAAAAAAGAAGAAATATATTCCACTACTTCGTTACTATCTACATAAAGTAACTCGTTACTTTACTCGCCGAGCACGTACGAACTGCGCATGCGTGAGTGGCAATAACTCTCCTTACCAGCAGGCGGCGGTAGTGTGTATTTTTCATTCAAAACAGGCAACAACCGGAAGACAGAGAAGAAGAACAGACTACGTGATATAAACAAACAACAAATAGCGTGTGCGGTAGCTTCACCTTAGCATGAGTTCTTTGCAGGTGTTTGTTGAGGTTTGACCACGTGGTGTTTCCAGCAGTGGATAACAGCTTCTGGCCTGGACACAGTTTGCACCTCACCGTCAGATTCCTGTCTATTCTTCGGACGAACTCAAAATAATGGGCATACCTCCACCCCTCGAGAGTTATCGCTGACTCAGCCATGTTTATGCAGCACTGCACGTGGAGATGTGGACGCGCAAATCGCGCAGATTACGTACATATAAACCTACAAAGTACTGATATAGTAAATTAAAAAATAATTATTTGTTGTGTAGTTGTATATTGGAATAATAACGTATGGTTGTCACAAAATCCCACGGCACACCCGGACTTGTCTCACGGCACACCGTTTGGGAACCACTGCTCTAGACAATGCCCATGAATGCAATATAGGATGATGGTGCAGATAATCCAGTTCACAAGTCTCCTGATTATTAAACAGTGTTCATTGAGTAATTTGCCTTTGCACAATCCCTCTTGAAATGTAATCGAGTGCCATCTATGTTTGGCATTGTTTGTCTGGAGGCGTGTGGCGCAGTGGACTAGTGCGTTAGTGTTCGGATCAGGGGGTCACAGGTTAAAACCCCACTGCAGTCAGCATGTCGTTGTGTCCCTGAGACACTTCTCCCCAAATTGCTCCAGTGGGGATTGTCCACAGTACTGAGTATGTAAGTCACTTTGGATAAAAGCGTCTAACAACATGTAATGTAATGTTTTCAGACCTGGCTGTAGGATCATAAGCAATTTCCTCTCTGGACTCAGTTAATGAGCTCAGGGGGAAACAAAGGTCAGACTTCCACATTAGTGAACAGTGAGCGGCGGTATTTAACACAGCACTGCTCCAAACATGCTCCGTTGGATAACCAATGCGTCATTACTGTCACTCGTGCATTACAAAAAAAACACGAGGATGTAAACACATGGAATACAGATGTTACCACTAATGATTTGATTTGTTATAGCTTTGCCTTAATTAGATTTAAACTTTTAAGGATTTTTTGTACAGTCAGAAGTAGTAACAAACAAATCAGGAGACCAGGATTCAATGCAGCTACCAAACATGTGTTTCACTCGTGTTTTTCAGAATTAATGACGGGGTGTTGTCAATAATAAGTGTCAGATAAATAATTCATATTTATTGCAACGGTTAATGGGTGTGGGAGAGTGGTGGGATTGAAATGGAGATTTTGATTTGTCAGCATGTGTGTATATATCGTTACTTGAATTGGAACCGAATGTACATGCTCTGTATCACTTGCTTTTGTAAAAAAAAAAAGAGAAAATCCATAAAGGTATTTATATAAAAAAAAGTAAAATAAATGTTTTTATATATCATAAAACTGCAATATTCAAGCTTATCCATTAGGATGAGATACTACAATGCCTAACCAAAAACTCCACACATTCATGCCTATGGGACTAATAGGTATGAAAGAATATACAGAAGGAATATACAGTAAATAACCCACTGTTGACTCTATACATTTGAGCTTTTTATATAAATAAAGACTTGATAAGTTTTTTTTAATGACACCTCTGATAATGGTTGCATTTATAAAGGTATTTTTTTTAATGGTTTACAATGAAGAGAGAAAAAAGGGAAAGATTAGAAGTTGACTTCTTGTTGCTTTTACATGAACCTTAAATAAAGTGTCCTTAAATACTCAAGTGCATATTAAAAGTACATTTGATTAAGATAGTAACAGGGACACTATTTGCACGGCTTATGCCTCCAAACTATGTAGTTAAAATAAAAGGCACCATTAAGATTTGATTGACCCAGTGGTATGGTAACACACCAGCCAGGGAGGTGTGGTTTGTTCTGACGTCTTTGGACCACTTTCCCTGAGCCGCTGCCAAGTTTACATGATAATATAAGACAGGAACCAACACGAATCCTTCAAAATAAAAGTTACACATAGTTTGAATAAAAAATATATCTCATATTAGTAGGTTTTTAGGGGAGCCATCTTGACATTTATTCAAAAATATATTTGTATTCATGCCATTTCTTTACAAAACTCATTTACATGCAGCATATTTTAGCATTACAAATATTTGTTTCATCCGGCAGAGTCGTTTGATAGCATTGGCAGTCTCTCATTCATTATCACACTAGAGCAGTTACTTAACCCTTCTATTGTCTTCGTGTTCCCCCCCTTACTTTGGTGTTCACGGTCAAATTTAAACGGCCCTGTTTTAACTGCTATTACATTAACACAAAAACCATTAATCATCACCACATTTAATTTAACACCCTTTCAAACTGTAAATATTGTATCAGACTACTGGCATACATGAAAAACTGCAGTAAATATACAAAGAATAGACACTGAACATGTATTGCGTGAGCCAGGTGTGATGAGTTTTATTGCACACAGACAATCAGCAATGTGTGTGTGTGTGTGTGTGTCAGGGGGGATTCACATGGGGGGGATTGGGCACATAAAGGGGGGGGGGGGGGATACATTAGAGTATACATGTGGATGTTTGTGTGTGTGTTTTATCTGATCCGGATGGTTACTAATGGTTACTACTACTTTTGACCGGGAACACTATGGGTGTTACAAAGTTGACTAAATCATCCAAAATTCAATGAAAGTGGTGATCAGCCATTTTATATGTTCAAATGTCTACTGTGAAGAATATCATAAAGCCTAAATGCAATCAAATGTAAAACTAAAAAGTTATGATTGATGAAAGTAGTAAATCGGTCAGATTTGACCCGAAGACAACAGGAGGGTTAAAGGTATCAAGCAAACTTTATTTAAACATATTTAATAAAGAAGAGGTTATATTTATAGTTGCTTAAGAGAAGAAAGGAAGAGTGGTTACAGGGACAAAGAGCCTGAGAAGAAGACAATATAGAAACAAGCAGCATTAGGTGTGCAAACCTACTTAATTTAGTATTTTAGGGACACAATGTAGAATTTAGACCTTTGGTGATTGTTAGTATTCTCTATTTCAAAAGCACAACCAATTTCCAAAGAAGAGAAAAATCTAACACTGATATAAAAAGAAGAAACACCTTTATCTGTTTATTTTTCACTATCCTTTGGGATTCTATCATGTTCAAATGTATGCAAACAAAACCAAGTAAAGTCTGGTAGGATTTTATTTTGAAGGCACTGACTGGATCTCGTGCATGTTATTTTGTTCCCTTGATTTCCCTGAACGCAGCTGCTGGTTTGGCTCGTGCAGCAGTGTCTTTATAGTATATGAACACTCTCTGTCCGTCAGTGAACTTACTGCGTGTTTTCTGTCCCTGCAGCTCACAGCAGATCCACAAACAACAGCTTCACACTTCCATCAGCCTCTCTCCCACAGCTGGACTTCATATTGTCAAACTTTCTCTGCAACTGGTGTTTGTGGAACAAGAGGTAAGAATATTTCCATATTTATAAATACTTATTGGGTAACATCATGCGACGTGCAGCTCTGCATACAGGACATCATGCTGAAGTCTCAACTGTCCCTCTGGTGTGTTAATAATATTTATACTGCATGCAACAAGTAGGAGGCCTGTGACTGCCTGTATCAAAAGTAGTCAAACTGGTTACCTGTGACAGAATGCAGGAAATCACTACTTGGACAATGAGATGTTATTTAATTGTATACTTATAATAATACTTAACTGGAAATAATCAGCTTCTTGAAGACTTTGTATATAAATGATGTCAGCAAAAGGCCTGACTGCAAATTTAAGACCAGGGATCATATGGAATATAATTCAATTATGCAGGCAGTTAGCTGCTTATAATATTATATATTTCACCACAATAATCTTCTAAAACATGCATTTGTACATCTACTAATCTTAAAATACGCACATAACCATGTTTGGGTACCCTTGTGAATCCAATATCTGATTTGTTTCTAATTGTGGGTCTTTAATGTGGTCTGAGAATCAGGCTTTTTCATGTTTAACTAATGTTAATATTAGCCTACTTCAAAAAGCACTTATCTTTGTGTAAACATACGGCTGCTGTCGTAGGGACTGCCCTGGTTTGAACCCTGGATCTGACGCTGGATCCGTACCACGTTTTCCAGTTAAATCAATTATTTAACCCACCAAAGTGCTCTAGTCAAACAAGAGATTTCATATGTTATACTTACTTTGGATAGACTAAAACTGAAGTAAAGTTTGCACAAACCTGTTTCTATTTAGAGATATGTTTTTGCAATTTGTCATTTGTTTACTCTGTGAGTGTGATTTCGACGTGTTGAAGTGTGGTGAAATGCAGGTTGGGAAATGAAAGAAAACATGGTGTTTTAAACTTTTAAGACGTTGTACTGGGTTGAATGCCTGGCTTTTACATTGACATTACAGTCAAGGTTGGTTGTCATATTTTTTAGATGAATAGAAAACGTATAAGTGGAGGTTACTATCATTGCCTTTATTGTGGGGTGCATTCACACGTAATAGTCCGTTTTCTGGAGCACCAGACCACAGTTTGTTACATCGTTTCATTTTTCAGAAGGTTCGGTTTGCGTTCACACCTATGGTTCGGTTCACACTGGCAAAACTCAAACGGGCTATAAACTTTAAACACAAGTCATGTGCACGTCATGTGTCAGATAGGTGTTGATTCAGCTCTGGGTATTTGGATACTGTTTTTTAGTTTCTGACGTATTTCATTATGATGCATTGAGGTGGTAAAAACATTAAACATCTTTTATTATACAGCAATTTAGTAAATGCTTAGTTGATTCAATTATTTCTGGTGAAACACACATTCAGGAAACATCATATCAAATATCATTTTTTGTATACAACATTAAATGTGTATTAAGCATTACATGAACACATGAATCTCTTGCTGTCAACTTGAGGTTTTTCTGCAGCGGGGCGACCAATTCAATGAGATTTTTCACATTCCCTGGCGCTAACCACCACTCGTACTCCCTCCCTGTGTAAATTAAGCTACGTCTCTTTCTGCAGAGCCGTTTAACATCCGTTTCCGCTTGATTTTAGGGAGGCAGTGAGGATTTGGATGGGAAAACGACATGGCCTTGAGCTTTTGTTAGAAGGCATGCCTCTCTGGCTAATGACCAGAAACCGTTCTGTCCCTTCACATTTCGCTTTATTTGGCTTTGATCTTTGGCCTTATGTTGGAGGAGATGCATGTTTGGTTCATGTGTGTTTGTGAGATTTCTTTGTGTGCAGGCATTCGTTTGTAAATGAATCTGCCCTTAAAAAAAAAAAAACGTTTTAACTGCATCTTTTCATAAAAAACCTCCATAGAATGGTCTCATATTTAAAGCATGCAAACTGCAGTGACTGGACCCAGGTTAGCTACGGCTAGCTGGTGAGGTAGCCTTAGCCAAAGTTAATCCTCCAACTTTTCCTTTTTCCTACGATTTAAGAATGTATTTTTGATGCTTGTTGTTGTTAGTAATTGAGTTTATATCCCACATACCTGAGACGGTAGCTTAATCAAATTATAATGGAGGGGGGGGGACAAAACGGAATGCTAACTAGCCTAGCTTAGATCAGAAGCGCTAGCTGCTTACCGCCTCTGGAAAAATGTGGTTAAGATACCTTTTTGTAATTGCATATTTAAATATATAGTAACATTTAGAGTTAATAGACAAGGGTGCTTGTTCAAATAGAAAAGAGAGATCTGATAAAACAACAAATTAGTCTGTTGTAGATTGCTAAAAGCACGAGGTGCATTATAAAGTAAAACAACATTTTAGGCTTTATGAAAGGTCTGTGACATTGGTTATACTCGGCATATAAAAAACTGTTTTTTTTCATTGTTTCTTTAATAGAGCAAAATGTTTATTCTTCAGCATCTTTGTGACAGGATGAGCAGCGTTGTAGAGGACATTTGGGAGTTTTTCGTTTTAAATGAGCTGCCAGCGGCTGGAGATTGATACAGTAAGGAGGTTTCAAGGCAAGGTCAGCGCTTCAAAGGAAACGACAACTTTTCCACATCTGCTTTTACCCTGTAATGGTTATGAAGTAACTAAATCTTTCCACAATCTGTTTTATAATCTCTTAAATTATCTCATTTGTTTTAGTAGTCTGCTCATTGGCTTCAGTGACAAGGTCATTGGAAACTCCATGAAACTATCAGCACTCTTTACTTTTTTAATAACCTTTAGGTTAGGTCTTATTTCTGTTGTATTGTGTTGTGTTGATAAGCCAGTGCATTACTTTATAATATCAATCATTCCCCATGAGTCGGGCCGAAACAGATGAGCTGGCAGGTGAGATTATTATACCTCAAACGAAGAATTGCTTCAACTCTTTGATATCGTGGAAAGTCATCAGTCTAGATCTCAGACATGATAAACTCTAAGAAGACGAGGGTAAAGCCATCTCCCCGCTGCCAATAAACACTCGTGTTATCATCCAGAAATGCTGCTGTTACAGATTAGAGTCATGCTTTTTGTATCCACAATCATGCACCACGGACACAAGTCTAGAGTTTTCTCTTTTCTGTAGTGTTTCTTATAGGTGCATGTTAAATATCCCAAAGTTCCCTGCAGATATGTATATCGTTAACATTAAAAACCTTAAAAAAGTTGCTACAGCAGATGCAATACAGTATGTAGTAACATTTAAAATTGTAGTTTGTAGATGTTAAATGCTTATTTTGTATTCACCACTTTATTTGTCAGGTTAAAGACATTACTACAATCAGAGATGGGGTCGTTACTAAAAAAAAAGTAATATATTACATATTACTTTAAAAAAAAGTAATATATTACACTACTTCGTTACTCTCTACATAAAGTAACTCGTTACTTTACTCGTTACTTTACTCGCAGGGCCGGCCCGCCCCTCCCTGCAGGCAGATCACGCAGACTGCTAAAGTTTCAAATGTTCTCTTTAGTTCAGTTTCCATTGTCGCATAAGACTGATCCAGATCCTGAATGTTTTCCTATCTGACCATGGCTGTCCTCTGTCTCCTGCTATCTGTATATTTTTGCGCAGTCTATCTCTGCTCACGCTGTTGCGTCGGCGTGTTCTCCTGCGTGTTGGCCATGTGTTGCACTGGAACCAGACTGGAGCACATCACAATACTTCAGCCGAGCACGTACGAACTGCGCATGCGTGAGTGGCAATAACTCTCCTTACCAGCAGGCGGCGGTAGTGTGTATTCGTCATTCAAAACAGGCAACAACCGGAAAACAGAGAAGAAGAACAGACTACGTGATATAAACAAACAACAAATAGCTGTGCGTTAGCTTCACCTTAGCATGAGTTCTTTGCAGGTGTTTGTTGAGGTTTGATGACTGATTTTAGTAAGTAACGCAGTAACGCGTGTCGGGGCAATGTTAGTAACTGTAGTGTGATTACTGAATTATAAAAGTAGCGCGTTACACTACTCCGTTACCAACAAAAGTAATATTATTACAGTAACGCGTTACTTTGTACGCGTTACACCCAACTCTGACTACAATACATTACACTTATTTAAAGTGACACTATTCAAAGCAACTTACAATAAGTGCAAGGATTCAAATTCAGAACAGCCACAATCCTAAAACACATTAGCTTCAAATATCAATTTAAGTGCTGGTGCATTAACTTTAAACAAGCGAAACCATTTAAAGTCCAACATACAGAAATGACCTTTTTTTAGATTGTAATGGGGTAAGCAAGTGTGTGTTTGTTCCTTAGATACAGTTATTAGAGAAAAATGCATTATAAATCTTTAACTTATAGGGTTTGTCAAGTGAAATAGGATTGTTGTCTCCTTCCATCTAAGTGTGTAGTGACACATTATGTGTCCACAATGAAGCATGGGATGCAATAAAAAATGTATTTCTCACTTGTTTTCAAAACATCAATCGAGGAAGAGTATGAACAAAATGTGTCCATAAAGATTTTATCTTTGATATACAGTAGCTTGTCATAACTTTCACGTACAATAATTCAAGTAGTAGCTGGAGAAATAAAAACTTGACGACGAGAGTAATGATCAGCACACCTAAATAACTCATTTTCCCCGAATGTTTCCACAGCTGTTAGAGTGGTATAACATTTTAATGTGTTATTGTAAAAAATAAGGACTTAGCTTTAGTGCTTTTTTGTTGTATCCAATATAATGAAAGTTCACCTGTGCCTTGCTGTGGCTTCGCAGTTTTATTTCTGCAGTGCTCATTTTACGCTCTACGCAGCACAAACTGCGGCTTCTCTTACGGATTATTGGGTTTGTTGGCGAGACGAACCTAAAGTGTCTCTCAGCCATTTGGGAAGATTACCAGAGCCGTGTTCTTCTGGGTGAATGATGATTTTAAGAAGTGAGCCGAGTGCCAGGCAGGGGGAGACGATATGTACCAACTCTGACTGAAGACAGACTGCTGCAGAACAGGAATGATTAACTTATCTGGTCTAGTAAACCAACATGTGTGTGTGTGTGCCTCTGATTGTGTGTGTGTGTTTTTATTGATCTACCAGCTGTCTGTCTAAAGAACATTATAAATTCTGCCGTTGTATTTCCGCTTGTCACTTTTCAGACTCTGAATTTCTTTAAAAGGAGTCAAACTCCACCTTGAAGCGGTGGTATTTGAATGCAACTGGAAGCCTGGATTTTTACATGTATCCACTCTACTTATAAACATGATCCATATCCTTAATGTTGCATCAAAATTAGATTTTGATTACATTTGATGACATGTTTTCCTTTAAGGTATTAAAGCCAGAACATTATATATTTAATGAACATTGAGAATCATTTTCTTTTTATTAAATGACATGTTGTTGATGGGGTTTGATTGAATGTGTTTAATATAGTGTATGAACCTCCATACATTTAAAAGAAAAATATTTTTAAAACTTGTTTTACTGATCTAAAAAATAATGCACAAATAGGAAATGTTTAATTGTATAATGGAAAAATATTTTGAATGAATACAAAATCTGGGTCAATATTGTCAAGTAATTTGTAAATTAAAAAATGTCTTCACCTACTAAATCTGTATTTCTTTGACAGGGTTGAAGTCACAATTTTGACATTTAATTTAGAGACAAATATAAATGTTGCCATAGTATATCATCTCTTGAATATAAAAAAACTTCACATTAGTGTTTTCCAAAAATATTATCGGATATATTTGAATAAAACAAACTGTATATCATGTCATCATATTGCTGATGTGATGAGACGAGGTACAACCTGAGATATTGAATTTTCTTTGAAGAATGGCTGGTACCACTTTACAATAAGACTACCCTTATAAAAGGGTTTACGAATAGTTTGTAATTCATTTATTAATTAGGTTGTGAACACTTTAAGTCTTTAATAAGTTTTTATAAGACATGAGATAAACAGGGCGACTGACCGGTTGCTTGCCAAATAGTGAGCCCACATTTCTCTGTACTGCTAAGCCTTATATTGGCTACTTAGCTTACTTCCTCTTCGTCATCAGCCAACATCCTTGGTATCTGTTGCTCGCTAAGTAGCCAATATAAGGCTTAGTCATCTTGCCAAATAGTGAGCCTGTGATGAGGTATGAAAACTAGGTTAGAACTGGTTCTTAATGATTAATAAAGTGTTTACAACCTAATTCATAACCTAATTATAAACTATTTATGAATCCTTTATAAGGGTTGTTACGTTCCCTACTGGACTAGGGGAACCAAAGGGAAGTAACAAAATACAAAACAAACCGGGCAAGAGAAAAAAGGAGAAGAAACCGGTTTGTGAAGCCACAAGATGGTCTTTTAATTGATCAAAGAAAAAGGGCTCAGCAGCCAACTTGCAAAGTAATCTAAGATAAACTAGAACAATTTTCTTCTAACAGAAAGTGACTAAATTAAACAAGGTACAAATGTACACATCTCCTAACAATGAACAACACACACTGTTACATCCCCACTAAGGCCTAGGGGACCTGGAGACAATAACATACAACCAATAAAAATGAGGGAGTCAGCGTAACAGTTGACAAAAGGTTTATTTTGTGTAAACCCCGAACCGAACGGACATATCATTGAAACACTCTGTTGGTGAGGAGGAGGAGGAGTCAAAGGATTGTGCCAAACAAAAGAAACAAGCATAACAAAACCAGGCCTATCTCTACATCTACCCTTCGAAACCAAAACTCAAACAAAAAAACCCTCACTAACTAAACTACAAAGAATTTGACAAAACAATATACAGGGGTGGCAACAATCCGCTAACCTAGTGTGTCTAAACATTAGTTAGCTACGTGGTGAGAAATGTACAGGGTACCCCAGACTTACCTAACTCCTCCACCTCTCAACACACACACTTTCAAAAAGGTCAGACAATACAAGGAGAATGAGTTGCTAAACACTGCAGGCTCCTCAATCAGCAACAGGCCCAGAGTGAGAGAGCGAGAAGACTTCCTGGGTGCCTCCTTTATGGTCGGCGCTGGCTGCTGATAGGCCAGCTGAGGGTGAGAGGATCCAATCAGCCATCAGACTCAGGTGCACAGGCAGATCAGATCAGCTGCTGATTAGCTGTGCAGAAGACAGGGAGAAGAGAGAAACACAGGAGGGAAGGAAAATCACACAAGTACAGCCTGCCTGGCACGTAACACACACGTTAAACTAGGCCTCACACAGAGACACAGACACCATGCACCATGCACCATGCACCATGCAGTCAGAGGAGAAGGAGAGCCTTTCTCAGGTCCTTTATGGAGGCCCTGATTGGGGATTGGGAGCACCTGAGGGAGAGGCTGCACCTGGAGACAATCAGGGGGAAAGAGAGAGAGACACACAAACACCCACACACACAAACACCCACTACGGCACGTAACAAGGGTAGTATTGTAAAGTGGTACCGAATTGCTAGATGCAGCCTTCCTTAAGCGACATTTAATGATGCGTCACCTCCGCAGTTCATAACAGTATTTTTGATTTTCTCTTCTCCCAGGTGGAAAGGCTTGCCACACATCTGACTCTTAATGATGTCAGCCTCTTCCTCTCTCTGAAGTGGACAGACTTTCGTCGGGATGATTTCACAGCAGGTGATTCACTCCAACACTTCACAGTCAGTGAGGTTGAATCAGCCGCAGGTGTTATTAAAGCCATCCATCATTCTGGGAGTCTACTAAGTGATCACCTGAGTGACATTAATCACCCCCGCTCTGTGTAGGTAGATCTGCTGGTTTAGTTTTTATGGCCATTTCTCGTTAATAAGACACCGGGGGATAACTCCATCCTACACTCCTGTCTTTTATCGATGATGTGGAAAATCTTGTAATACCGAGATCTTCTGTAATCATGATGGCCGCCGCCCTCTTTCAAGAGAAGGAGTATCCCCATCTCCAGCTGCAGGAGGTGGACTCCAGTCGAGTTGGATGTCGCGCCCTCCCTCCTCCCCTCATGGCCTCCTCTCCTGGGTTATCCATGGAGAACCAGCCCATCTGCATCCCCTCCCCGTACACCGACATCGGCCACGACTTCCCCCCCCTCCCTTTCTACAGTCCGACCATCTTCACGTACGCCGGGCCGGGTATCTCCGACTGCCCCTCTGTCCGTCAGTCGCTTAGCCCCTCCTTGTTCTGGCCCAGTCACGGCCATGTGGGGCCCCTGCACCAGGCCCAGGCTCGGCCCCCCCAGCCGGTACAGAGCCCCTGGGTGGAGCTGCGGGACGGCGTCCTGACGACCAGGTAGGATGCATCAGAATCCCTTTATTCGTCCCACAGAGGGGAACTTTGCATTTGTTACAGCAAGAAAAGAGCCAAAGACAGCTTGATATTAACCAAGAAGCATGCATAAAATGGTGCATCACTTCTAGCTCTTGTTTAAGTCAAATAACTCACTTTAAGAGAGAAGAGAAGCGACTGTGCCTATCACAATTTCCTAGAGCCACATTTCTAATTTGTCTTCAAATTGCACATTTTGTAAGTCAACAAATCTAAATTATTGACAAACATCGGTTTATCCACTTACTGATAAATAGACAAACTGTTTGAGACTAAGTCTTCAAAGTTGCGTTATCTAGACCCAACATTTTCCCTTACGAGTCAAAATATAACTTTTTCCAATGTGAAAAGATAGTATTTTGAAGATTTCAAAGCTAAAATGCACAATAGTTGCAGCGGAGTTTGGCAATGTAAATCTTAAGAGCCAGGCTCCTCTTACAACAATTGACTCAAGACATAAGAACAAGTAAAAATAGTGCAAACAGAAATAGTACTAGAGAAAAGTGACACATTGTGTAAATAAATGCATGTAAATTAGAATGAGATAAATAAGATTCCTCTCATCACCGCAAGTGTTCCCTGCTAAACAAATGCTGCAATAATCTAAAATAATCAGTAGTCACTCTCCAGATCAGGTGATAATGAATCATTAGAATGCAACATGCAGCACACTTCATTAAACTGCCCTGCATGCTGAAGCCAGACTTCCTGCTGAGGCCAGACTTCATGCTGAGGCCAGACTTCATGCTGAGAACTGATTGTATTCCTTGTGTTCTTTGAAATGACGACCGTTTCTCTGTTAGTAAGAGTGTGAGGAGGCGTTCTCAGGAGAGCGAGGAGGCCGTGGTGTCGTCCGGAGGGAAGGCGGACCTCCACTTCTGCGCCGTGTGTCACGACTACGCCTCGGGCTACCACTACGGTGTGTGGTCCTGTGAGGGGTGCAAGGCCTTCTTCAAGAGGAGCATCCAAGGTGAGACTCAAAAACACACAGGGGTGGCATTATGTCAGCAGCACCAGTTTCCTGAAGATCTCCATGTTCAGGTTTTGTTGTGACTTTCAAGTGGTGTTTAATCAGCAGATGGTTCCCTCACATTTCCAGCACCTCCACCTGCAGTGAAAAATTCTATTTGATCCAGAATATGTCAATATCTGCTTTATGGAATAGATGAAACCCTCTTTAATGGTCAAAGGTCTTGAGTCCTTTTTTGTCGTCATGTTCTCTATTTCGTGCTTCTATTGTTTCAGGACACAATGACTACATCTGCCCGGCGACTAATCAATGCACGATAGACAAGAACCGCCGCAAGAGCTGCCAGGCGTGTCGCCTTCGCAAATGCTGTGAAGTCGGCATGACCAAGTGCGGTAAGTTTCTTATTTTCTCGTATTCATTTTGAATGTGTGTTTGTTTTCTCCTTCTGTTCCCATCAAGGTTCTTGCCTTTTCTCTTCCTGAAAGGAACCAGAAACTGTCTCCAGTCAGGATATTTATTTCATTATTTTTAAAGCAACCTGCTGTAATGGTTGTCATCTGTGTCATCAATTCCCCGCGGCTTAGTTTGTCCAAGAATGTCCTTTTCCCTGAGCAGCAGCCGGGAGAGTTGTTGTTTATTTCCATGTGAGTTTGATTTGTTCAACAGCTGTATGAAGAGGAGTGGCTTTCTGTGGCTGTGGAGGAATTCAAGTCATTCATTCTGTATTCATTTATTTGTCAGTATAGTTAAATGCCATGGGTAGATCAGATAGTGTTTGGTTCATTGCGTAATTTTCATCAACAACACCCTCTGTTCTCTACCTGCTCAGAAAAGTCGGGAACTATCTGGTGAACATGTTGGAGCGTTTAGCAACTAGAGAACCAGACACCTCCCTCAGGACTTAGTGGAAACCATAAACTACGGCTAACCGAATCGACATGAAACTGAAAAAGAGATTTATTGGACTTGAATTAATCGGGGTCGGAAGTAGGACTCGCAGTAAATGGTTATATCAGTCATTATCTGCTGGATGATTTAATAAACAACTGTGTGCTTATCGGTTCACCATATTGTGATGACAGTATTATGTTCACAGATTGATATTGTTCTGCCTCCAAGAAGCCAGATATACAGTATCAGTTTTAGCAGGTTTTTAATAGCATTTAAAACATGGCAATTTACAAAATATGTAAATATACAGTATGAGTTATGTTTCACAAATACAGAGTGTATAGTGTGATATGCAGTGGTGGAATGTAATTAAGTACACTTACTCACTCACTGTATTCAATCACTCAATTGTTTTGAGTATTTCCATACTACTTTTTTAATAATGTATTTGTTCTTAAATGTCGTTTGCTTTTAATCTGTAAAGCACTTTGAATCGCCACGTGCTGAAAAGTGCTATATAAATAAAATTGCCTTGCCTTACTTTATACTTATCCACTACATTTCAGAGGCAGGGATAACAGTTTTTACTCCACTAAAGTTATATAACACTCATAGTTACTTTTTATATGTTACTTTTACAAAAATGATATGACAGTTCTGTACTTCTAATAAACACAGTTTTTCTAAAAGTGTCTACAATTGGTACCACTTTGAAAAACAATTTATCATCTTTTAATATTATATTTTGTATTGATTAAATATTTTAATTATTAAACATGTGTTGCATGTATTCTGCAGTAATAACAGAATCATGTCACGTCTTTAATAATGTGAAAAGAGCCAAAACAAGTACTTTTATGTACATTTAGCTTTTTAAATTTAGAATTCAGGACTTTTGCTTAGACTGTAGTATTTCTCCACTTACTTTAGTAAAGGAAGCTACTATTACTCCCTCCTCTGGATATATGCCAGCAGTAATGTGAACATCTTCTTTATGTCAGGTTTGCGTAAGGAGCGTGCAAACTGCAGGAACCCCCAGACGAGGCGAGTGACCCGCCTGTCCTCTGAGAGCAGAACCAACCCCCCAAAGGCGTTAAATGGACCAGTGGTGGTTTTATCAAATGCACCCCTCCCTCCGGCTCTGACCCCGGAGCACCTGATCTCCAGGATAATGGAGGCGGAGCCGCCGGAGATCTACCTTATGAAGGACATGAACCGGCCGCTGACTGAAGCCAACGTCATGATGTCGCTCACCAACCTGGCCGACAAGGAGCTGGTCCACATGATCAGCTGGGCCAAGAAGATCCCAGGTGGGTGTGGGGGTGCAGGGAGACTTTAAATAGCATCAAGAAATATGAAAGTCTACTGGAGTTATCCGTACTCTTGTCCTATTAATTGTGCTTATGTTTTCTATCACTGTGTTGATGTTCTTTCGTTGTGCTTATGTGCTACCAGGTCCTGCATATGGGAGTGAGCACGTCTGGCTAGATCTGTCACATATCCATGAAGGACTCAAGTCCCTTCTCAAATAAATAAATAAACATTTAATTGGCATTACATTAAACCACCTTTTAAATTCCTGGTACATGTGAACCTACCTGGCAATAAACCCGTTTCTGATTATTTTCGTCCTTTGGATTCAGCTGCACACTTAATGCACTGCCCTGAGTAATAATAAAATACTAATTATCTTAACTCTCGGCAAAAAAAAAGAACCAAATCAATAATTGTGCTTATGTTTTCTATCACTGTGCTTATTTTTCTATAATTGTGTTTTTTGTTCTACAAATGCCATCCAACTACCAGGTCCTGCAGATGGAAGTGAGCATGTCACATTACCATAACGGACTCAAGTGCTATTGTTAAAACATATCTACTGTCCCTTCTCAAATAAATAAAGAAACATTTAAATGGCATTACATTAAACCACCTTTTCATCCATTCGATGCACACTTAATGCACTGCCCTGAGTGTGGTATTAATCCTCTCATTTAACTACAAATGAGAAGATTTGCCAACTTAAAAATAAAGACTTCCTCACTTATGATAATATTCAAGTCACATAAGAGTTGAGAAAAAACCAGCAGCCGTTTTAGAGACATGTCTATATAAACATCAATGTGTCTGTATAGAACATTTGGACCTTTCACAATTCACTTAATTCCTGGTAATGGTAGCTGCTTACTTCTCTAGTTTTCATCTTTTTTGAGTCCAGAATTAATATATTGACGGGTTTTCTTTAAGCGCATATTAAGTCCAAGATAAAGAGTATTTTTAAAGAAATAAAATGTTGTTTATCTCATCCTCCTGCTCATGTCTGCAGAGCGGCTCTGTCTGGACTCTGTGATTGTCTCCGCTTTATTGAGCATGTTAGTCGGGTCCGTGCTAATTGATTCAGACTTGTTGTCTGCACAATATTAACGTTTTGAACAAGTGCATGCTTCAGGATATTTCAGCCTCCTCTTTGCTTCAGGCAAATAATATGACACAGAAACCACAGTCAGTATTTACACAGCCCTGATTTGGGGCATAATACATTACATTACAATTGTGTGTTTAAATTAGTGCTGAAATGAACAATTGTTTTCCTTATAAAAATACCTATGACAATTTCCCATAGCCGAATAAAATGATCTAAACCGCAAAGAAATGTAACAGTCCTATAAATCATCAGAAATCCTCTCATTCCTAGCAAGTTATTTGGGCCTTTTTGCATGATGGATGACTTCAGCACCCAGTATAGCTTCACTATTGGCACACAGTTAATATATGATCCTGTGTTTCCTCAGGGTTTGTGGAGTTCGGCCTCCTGGAGCAGGTGCACCTGCTGGAGTGCTGCTGGCTGGAGGTTCTGATGATGGGGCTGATGTGGAGGTCCGTGGACCATCCAGGGAAACTCATATTCTCCCCTGACCTCAGCCTGAGCAGGTACCCCCCCCAACACCTCACATATCTACTGCTTCATTAAAGGGACAGTGTGTCATTATTATTTTGAATATTAGGGCTCTCAATCACTTATCAATCAATCAATCAATGTTTATTTATATAGCCCAATATCACAAATGTTACATTTGTCTCAGTGGACTTTACAGTTTGTACAAAATATCAGTATGACAATACGACACCCTCTGTCCTTAGACCATCACATCGTACAAGGAAAAACTTCCGAAGAAAACCCACAGTTTAAAGGGAAAAATGGGAGAAACCTCAGGGAGAGCAACAGAGGAGGGATCCCTCTCCCAGGACGGACAGACGTGCAATAGATGCCGTGTGTAAATTGAAAAGATAATACATTTGCAACATAGGTAGTCCAAATGTTTGGAAATGCATGTGTGTATAATAGGAAGATGAATCCACGAGGATATCCATCCAGGACCTATGATCCAGGACCACAGCCACAACTCAAGATCCAGGGCTCGCGATCCAGGACAGAGGAGCGCAGGATCATCCATGACTCCGGATCCCGGCGTATATAGACACCAAAAAGAAAGACATTTGGGGAAGCTGGGTTAATCGGAACATGAGAGTACACAGGTATAGACAGAGAGAAGGAAGAAGTAAGATGTCCCCCGACAAACTAAGTCTATATCAGCAAAACTAGGGGCTGAATCTAATCAGCCCTAACTATAAGCTTTATCAAAAAGGAAGGTCTTAAGCGCACTCTTAAAAATGGATAGGGTGTCTGCCGCCCGAACACAAACTGGAAGCTGATTCCACAAATGTGGAGCTTGATAAGAAAAGGCTCTGGCTCCCATTGTACTTTTAGAGACTCTAGGAACAACCAGCAACCCTGCATTCTTGGAACGCAATGCCCTAGTAGGACAGTAGGGTATAATGAGTTCTTTAAGGTAAGATGGCGCCTGCCCATTAAGGGCTTTGTAGGCGAGAAGAAGAATTTTAAATTCTATCCTGTGTTCTATAGGGAGCCAGTGTAAGGCAGCCAGAACAGGAGTAATGTGGTCCCTTTTCCTAACTCTGGTTAGTACACGAGCTGCAGCATTTTGAATCAGCTGAAGCGACTTGACTGACTTCTTGGTACACCCTGATAATAAAGAGTTACAATAATCCAGCCTTGAAGTAACAAATGCATGGACTAGTTTCTCTGCATCGTTTTGAGGCAAGATATGCCTGATTTTTGCAATGTTACGTAGATGGAAGTAGGTGGTCCTTGAAATTGATTTTATGTGGGCGTTAAAGGATAAATCCTGATCAAATATAACACCAAGATTCCTTACAGTCTCACTGGAGGCCAAATTAATGGCATCCATAGTTAGTATATCCTTAGATAATTTGTTTCGTAGATTCTTCGGGCCAAGTACAATAACTTCAGTTTTGGTCGTGTTTAACATCAAAAGTTTAAGGTCATCCACGTTTTTAAGTCCTTAGGGCAGTCTTGAATTTTATTTAGATGATTAATTTCAGGCTTGATTGATAAATATAGTTGAGTATCATCCGCATAACAATGAAAATGTACAGAATGATTCCTTATAATATTGCCTAACGGAAGCATATATAATGTGAACAAAATAGGTCCGAGCACTGAGCCCTGTGGCACTCCATGGCTAACTTTGGTTTGCATGGAAGATTCATCGTTGACACGTACAAACTGAGAGCGTTCAGATAGATAGGACCTAAACCAGTCTAAAGCAGTTCCCTGTATGCCAACTAAGTGCTCTCGTCTTTGCAACAAGATATCATGGTCGATAGTATCAAATGCAGCACTGAGATCGAGCAAAACAAGAATAGAGACACGTCCCTTGTCAGAGGCTATTAGAATGTCCTTTGTGACTTTAACCAGAGCTGTCTCTGTGCTATGATGTGTTCTAAAGCCAGACTGAAAATCTTCAAATAAATCATTGTTTTTTAAGTAATCACACAGCTGTTTTGCGACCGCTTTCTCAATAATTTTTGAGAGGAACGGAAGATTGGAAATAGGTCTATAATTGGCTAAAACCTCTGGATCGAGGTTGTGCTTTTTAAGAAGCGGTTTTATCACTGCTACTTTGAATGATTGTGGAACATAGCCTGATAATAAAGACATATTCATAATATTTAATAAATAAGTGCTAATTAATGGAAAAACTTCCTTCAACAGCTTAGTTGGAATTGGGTCTAACATACACGTTGATGGTTTAGAAGAGAGAATCATTGAATTTAATTGTTCAAGGTTTATGGCTGAAAAGCATTCTAGTTTACTATCTAGTGTAATACTAGAACTTACGTTTCCGGGAGCTGTTGATAACACTATACTGGTCAAAGACAAGAGGTCATTAATTTTGTTTCTAAGAGTAACAATTTTATCGTTAAAAAAGCACATAAAATCATTACTACTGAGTGCTATGGGAATAGTCGGCTCAATCGAGCTGTGGCTCTCTGTCAGCCTGGATACAGTGCTGAAAAGAAATCTTGCATTATTCTTATTCTCATCTATTAATGAAGAGTAGTAGGCTGCTCTCGCTTTACGCAGTGCTTTCTTATATTCATTGAGAGTAATATGCCAAATTAAACGAGATTCTTCAAGTTTAGTGGAACGCCATATCCTTTCAAGTTGTCTCGACTTTTACTTTATTTTGCGGGTTTCGGCATTATGCCATGGAGCTAATCTATGTTGTTTTATTTTCTTCTTTTTCAAAGGAGCAAGTCTAATTTTATTCACAGCGCATCTGTAGCACTATCAACAACATGATCAATTTGGGGTGGTGTACATTTTGTATAAGTTTCCTCCCTTACATGCAGACATGCTATCGAGTTAAGTATTGGTGGAATCTCTTCCTTAAATTTGGCTATAGCACTAACAGATAGGTTTCTGCTGCAGGAGCTTTTGACTAATGCTTTGTAGTCTCGTAACAGTACTTCAAAAGTTACTAAGAAATGGTCGGATAAAGCAGGATTATGCGGTTCGACTAATAGTTGCTCAATTTCAATACCATAAGTCAGAACAAGGTCGAGAGTGTGATTATAGCAGTGGGTTGGTTTATTTATACTTTGACAAAAACCAACAGAATCTAATATAGAGTTAAATGCAACAGTAAGGCTATTTTTATCATCGTCAACATGAATATTAAAGTCACCTACGATAATTACTTTATCTGTTTTAAGAACCAAAGTTGATAAAAACTCAGAGAATTCAGATAAGAATTCTGAATAAGGACCTGGTGCACGGTACACTGTAACAAATAAGATTGGCTGCAAAGTTTTCCAGGTCGGATGCGTAAGACTAAAAACGAGACTTTCAAAGGAGGTATAATTTAATTTTGGATTAGTATTGATAAGTAAACTTGAGTCAAAGATTAGCAACTCCACCTCCTCGGCCCGTGCCTCGGGCAATATGAGTATTGATATGGCTGGGTGGAGTGGCCTCATTTATACTTATAAAGGCACAACAACAAACAAACAGCTGTTGATGTAGCTTGTTTGATCCAACAAGTATCACACTGAGTAACACTGACCGGGCGCCGACCACAGAGAGGCTAGCTACCATGAACGCACACTTGACACAGTTAAAATAGTATATTTAATGTTATTGCTTTGGTTAAAACACAAACTGTCACTTAGTCACTGAAACCATTCCTTTTTAAAATCGCTCTTATTGCAGGATTTAGCCTCTCTTACATGTAGGTGTTAGCATAAATATTGGCCTATAAATAAGAAACGGCATGTTAAAGATAATGCCATTAGATCATTTGTCCACTAGAGAGCTGTTGCCATTCAATGTATTTACTTTCTGTAATCCATTCTCTTTATAGATGTTTTCATCATTAATCCGTAATTTCCACACACTTTTATTTTAGAAGAATCTAAATCTGAAAATCACTGGAAAATGTGTGTTTTGTATTTCACTCTACTTTCAAAGGATGACTTATACACCTTGTATGGGAAAAGGTCTACTGGCAGCGACATCATGATCCCTTTTATTGTTATATCTCAATGATCAACATCAGTATTGGTTTTCAACAGAAAGAACACCGCGTGCTCGGCTCTGACCTTTGGATAGTTTTAAAGCAATGATAGATCATCCACCCACAGTCTGATTTGAATCATGTTGTTAATGATGTAGATTAATTTCCTTCTAATTTAGGAGAGAGAACTGACAATTCCACCACAGTGTGTCATTCAGAAACTGCAGCAGCAGCTCTGCCTTCTTATGTGCTCAGCCGCTTCTGAAGCTGTTACAAAGTGTCCTGACCTCTCTCACTGCACCACCCCAACACTTCCTTTGTGGGTTCTTCATCAACACAGCTAACCAGTGAAACGATGCAGTGCATGCTCTGTAGTCCACAGCTCAAAGGAAAAAAGTATCTGTCAGTGTAGGATGCAGTAGTTAGGTAATTAACACTAGTAAGAGCTTTAAAACCGCAATGTAAACTACTGTTGTACAAGCTAAAGTCTGGCATTAAGACATTCAGAAACATGTTAAAGTAGAGCAAACAGTAACATATTGAAAGTACCTGTAATGCAGAATGTTATAGTATGTTGTTAACAGATAGCTGATATTGATTCAACATCATCGTTGTGTTTTTAAAATGCATCACATATAATCTCATGTTTTTTAAGTAAGATATCATTCTCTAAGGTCACTGGTAACTAATTCAGTAAAAACGCACACTATTTGCTTTTAAAATGTATTACAATAGAATCAATAGTGCAAGTACCTTAACATTTTACTCAAATAGCGTCTATGTACTAAGCTTCTTTCTATAAATGGAGTCTTCTGCTCTTTGTGCAGCTTTACATTCAATCCTTCAATCACAGATGTATCACAAAACGAAGTCATCCCAGGATAACTTGGAGTCATGCAGGTTTATCTGTCTAATGTGCCAACTAAACAAGTGTCTGTTTGATAAATATCTGGCTGTGTTTTTGTCCGGCAGAGAAGAGGGTAACTGTGTGCAGGGCTTCTCAGAGATCTTCGATATGCTGATAGCTGCCACATCCAGGGTGAGAGAACTCAAGCTGCAGAGGGAGGAGTACGTCTGCCTCAAGGCCATGATCCTCCTCAACTCCAGTAAGTGTGTGTGTGTGGGTGTACACACAGTTATAAGGCCTCCTTTATGAGCAGTCTGTGTCCTCTCCTTGTTATGATATGTGTGTAGGTGAGACAAAGAGATGTGTGTGTGATTTAGTACGTGGATTCACAGCTGAGTGTTTGTTCGGTGTCTCAGCATTTAATCTGGTCTGAGCATGAGTCTGCACATGGTTGGCCTGGGGACGGGCTAAATAACTCACCAGTGAAGCCCCTAATGGGAACACTGTGTGTTATTGGAGTGTCTGAGTAACAGGCTGGCTGAGTGAGGGCCGACAGGTTCAGAGTCCTCTCCGCTGAGCAGAATCAACGCACAGTAATTAACGTCTGACTCATGTTCCTGTTTCCCTTTTAATTGCCTCCACTGGCGTTTTATGTCCATCTATTTTGCCCATTTGAACATTTACAGTGCTGAACAAAATTAAATATCTCTGAGAACCAGCGTTTAAGCAATTTAACGGTTGTTAATCCTTTTCAGAGAATATAAAAACAAAATACTTTCACCAGCTGCACAGTGTACAAACTCATGCTTCACTCTCTGCCACTTGTAGAAATCTCTTACATTCATTGGATTCTTTTCAAAATATGACTTGAAATATAACAAAATGAAGGTGAATTAAAGCCACAAATCATCATAAAGTTGTTGATCAGTTAAAAAACATGCAGAATTCTCCAAAGGGTTATATTAAATGAAGCATTACCTGTTTATTAAATTAAATATGTTCACCTCTGTGTGACAGACATGTGCCTGATCTCGTCAGAGGGCAGCGAGGAGCCTCAGAGTCGCTCCAAGCTGCTGCGGCTCCTGGACGCCGTGACGGACGCTCTGGTGTGGGCCATCGCCAAATCAGGCCTCCCATACCGCCAGCAGTACACCCGCCTGGCCCACCTGCTCATGCTGCTGTCACACGTCCGCCATGTCAGGTACAAAGACCCCATGTCAGAATGTCCTGAATGCAGGATTGATGATGTACTTGAGCTAAAATACTGATTTTGTGATAAGGTGTCCTTTTGACCAAATCTGTTTGAGGGATATGCATCTTAAAATATTGCAGTATTAAAATAAACAGACCTTTTCAAATATCCAAACATTTTAAATACAAAACAATTACTTTTTCCTTGATATTTTTCAACAGACTATACTATTACTTTTTTCATGATATTTTCGACATGCAATACTATGACTATTCTTAGTTTTTATTAATTGTTATAAAAAACGAGTGGGAACTAATCTCGTAATCAAACCTCATGATGTTCACTTTACTTCTCTCTTCCTTCCCTCTCACCTTGCAGTAACAAAGGCATGGACCACCTCCACTGCATGAAGATGAAGAACATGGTGCCTTTGTACGACCTGCTGCTGGAGATGTTGGACGCCCACATCATGCACAGCTCCCGCCTGCCCCCCCAGCCTGGGGACCTGACAGAGTTTCCTGATCGGCCCTCGAGCTCCAGAAGCTCCCTGTCCAACACCTGGATGCCTGGCAGCACTGGGGGTGGAGGTGAACCACAATGAATTCACCGCTTTGCACATAGTTCACAAGACTGATCATTTTTTTACTGGAACATTCTGCTGAATTCTGTGGAATTCACAGGGGAAACTTTGACACATGCTGCACTTATTGTAGTGAACTCAACTTTGGAGATTTCAGATATTACTCTGCAGACAGACTGAACTTGCTGTTTCCTTTGTCTTACTAATAATTACTATTATATACATTATTCGGTCAGCAGCATTAGTTCTTGCTTACATTTGCAATTCATGCAATATGTTAATACAAAGATTATCTCGGGCTGAGCAGCTTATTTCACATCAGATCATTTTCATATTCATCGTCCATGTATGGTGTTATTCTGGAGGTCCAACAGAGGAAACATTGTACCAAAAATGACTGAAGAAAACAACCGGGCCAAGAAAAACAGATAGATCAACCGCCTGTTGTAGAAAAGATAGGCTTGAGTCATATGATGATATAGGCCTACATGAGAACAAAATAGATAATAACTATACCTACAGCTTCTATCAAGGTTGCTGCTATTTATTGTATACCTCTTGATATATATATAGATATAGATATATATATATATATAGATATAGATATATATCTATATATATATATATATATATATATATATAGATAGATATATATATTGGGTTTACAGTTTTGTTATAAACATGTTTTAAATACAATGATATGTCAGGTATTTAATTCACAGGAAGACAAACATTCCCATCTAGTCATTTCTATAAAAACGTTTTTGGATTGAGATTAATATCATTTTCCACCTAAAGGAACTGTTTAACATTTTGATAAATGCGCTTTTTATCTCGGTTGTCAAGAGTTAAATTATAAGATCGATCCAACTTTCTGAATAAAAACGTAGCTGGAACTGTTTAGTTTAGCTTAGCATAAAGACTAGAAACAGCTAGCTAGCTTTCAGCAACCCTAAAACTCACTACTTAATATTTAAAATATATCTTTCTTATTGAATCTGTACAAATACAAACAAACAATGGGACACATTTATACAATGTTTGTTTTATAGTTGCTGTTAAAAACGTGTTATGCTAAGCTAAATGGCTGCTAGCTGTAACATAATTAGCATACAATCTTCTCATCTCACTCTTGGCCACAAAAGGCAAACAAGTGTATTGTATTTCCTGCAATGTCAAACTATACCTGTTTTACAAAGTCACATAAACCTTGAGAAAAGACAATATATTTATATTGTTAGCATTTAACAACTATAGCTCCTGTATTTCGACATAGCTGTTGTTCATAGCGGTTGTTGCCAAAGACAAACAGTCGTCTTGTTGAACATTTTAAGTCTTTTTTTTACAATTCAGTATAATAGGATTTACCCATCAAGCTTAGAAAATAGACTAGTGAAGCCACTTAAAGACATTGAAAAGAAATGGAAAAGCAGATTTTGTTTGTAACAAGCAGATCGCCACTAGAGGGCGCTGTACAGCACACACTCTGCATATGACTCAACATGTCCGCGCACAGTCTGCTCATCACAGACATCCCCTCTTGTTTTCTGAGAAGAAGATCACTACTATTGCTCTTAAGACAATTGCACTTCTCAATTTGAGCTTGAAGAGAGTTATTTTTATATGTTAGACCTCTCTGTTGTATACATTGTGAGCACAATCATGATTAAAACACCAGGATCACAGAGTGCGTTATATGTAAATATGTAGACTTTTAAACCTCCTCTCCATGAACCTCTGTACTCGTTCAGTCCTGTGTCTTTTCCTCTGGTCACAATCTATCACCATACATCACACACTGTATTTTCACTGTGTACATGTATTTGGATTGTAAGTATTTTCTTTACTTGTTTTTCAAAAAGCAAATTCATGATGTGATGGTCGTTAAAGTGCTGAACGCTATTAAAGCTAGTAAGTGAACCTTGAGATTTTTTAAAAGGAATTTAAACCCTTACAAGTGCACTTACTCTGAGTAGAATATGTTTTATTCATATACAAATATTCCCATTACCTACAACTTGACATGAAATGTTTTCTTTTAATATTGAACTGCTTAGTTTATTGGAAATATTAGTAAAAGGTAAGTTCCCCCCCCTTTAAACACCTTTGCTTTGCACTGGTGATTAGATTTAGTTTGTATTTCTTGTTCCAAATTAACTTTTTTTGAGGCCTCTTCACTGACCACAGCATCCTCTCTCTTTCAAGGACAAATGTATATCTGTTAATCCTCAATGCCAACAAAAATACTTCAAACAGAGTTAAGACAATCAGTGTTTACTACCAGAAGATTAGGATGAATCCACCGTTTGATGTTATAAATAAGCATTATATTATCACATTCTGTACATACACATCATCCTGATAAATCTACAGTGTTTCAGCAGTGCTCACAATCTACTCAAATAGTATCTAAACAAATATACAATTGTGTGTGTATAAAACTGCCATCATTTTGTACGGTTGGCTTTATAAAGATAACATTAAATAGTATTGTCTTTTCTTGTAAAAAAAACCCACATTAAAAAAAAAAGAGTTCAGTCTGGAGGCGTGTGGTGCAGTGGGTGTGCGTTGGTGTTTGGATCAGGGGAGCACAGGTTCAAACCCCACTGCAGTCAGCATGTCGTTGTGTCCCTGAGACACTTCACCCCAAATTGCTCCTGTGGGGATTGTCCACATTGAGTATGTAAGTCACTTTGGATAAAAGCGTCTAACATGTAATGTCTGACATAAAAAAGATCAAGCATGCTTTTGTTTTAGGGGAACACGAAATGTCAGCAGTTCATAAAATAACATGTAAATGACAGATATTGTACACGTGAAATAAAAATCTTGAAAAGGCCAAGCAGAGACTTGTTTAGTGAAAGTCCACGTTTGGAAGCAAGTACAAATATATTATCATTGATTTCCTCCTCTCATTTTTGTCCAATGAACTCAATGGAATATATTTGCTGAAGGATATTTAAACTATCTTACCAATAACTCATATTGCTATGCTGTTACTGTACGCCTCTTTGTTGTCTCTACTACACCATGCGTCTACTGTGTCTCTTCTTAAGAGGAGATGAGGCTGCAGTAGTGTAGAGACATTGCATTATTAAACTAGAATATCTGCATTTTTGTTCAAAGCTGGTATTTTTCCTGATTTAAAATGCAGTCAAATGCATGGTTTTGTTTATAAAATAAATACAATCTGTTCTAAGATCAAATCTTCAAGAATAGAAATACATTTTAGTTTTAGAAGACTATCACTTCTTTACATTATTTGTTCAGGGGTTTCAGTGTGACAGAAAGGTGGCTTGTGGTCCTCAGGGTTGTTAGGTGGGGGGGGGGCCGTTGGTGTATTTTAACATGGGGTAGAAGGACCGGGCGAAGTTATTGGCGGCGGTGCAGCCGGGCTCGCTCTCCGACCACGGGATGATACAGGGGAGCAGCAGGAGGAAGAGGAAGAGGAGGTGCAGGGGGAAGGCAGCGCGGAGGACTCTGTAGAAGAAGGAGGAGCGGGGGGGAGACAAATCCCTCCTCTCTCTGCAACACACACAACGAATAAAGGTCAGGACAGAAAAAAACACACGAACGATTTAGTGACAAAGACATTAAAATCAAGAGAGACTGCCAACACTAAATGAACTGCAAGTCATCCACAGTTCACATTTGAACACACCATTGACTGAAACCACTGATTAATACCCGTTTACACACAGTGCCCTTTCAATGCTTAGTTATCTGTAACTTCATTCCTGTTATTTAGTGCAACTAATGGATTGCTGTGATTCACCTTGAGAGGGATTTCTTTGTTTGATTCGTCGTTTCCACTGCATTTATACATGGTGGTTTTATTCCTGGAATCTTTCCTGTTAAGTAAAGCCTTCCTGACCTGCTGTTTCTACTTGTTTGGGCTATTAATAAATGTCTAGTGTTAAAATGTAATGCTTAGTTTTTCCTGCATACCTTTTAAGAGAGGAACCTTTCTTTGGATCTGCAGAGGAGCTTTGTCGCTGGACTTCTGATGCAGATTCACAACCCTGAAGAGACAAAGAAATGTTATTGTTTCACAATCTCTCATGACAGGATGTCCAAAAACATTGTACAACGTACAATTGATCAGACATACTATAATGACTATAATTTAATGTGACATAAGTTGACAGCTGAATTTGGCTTCTTTTCACTTTTCTTAAGATATTATATTTGACATACAATACTCTGGCTTAAAACTGTTATGACAGATACTTGACATACTTGGCTGTTTTAGTACTATTTTTACGACAGCTTTTAAATCTCTAAGGTCTATAAATTAGTTTGACATGAGTACGGTATTTGTAAGCTCTCACCAGCTGTGGCGGCAGGGTGCTGAGGTCCTGCTCCACCTGCCTCAGCAGCAGCTTCAGTTTGCTCCCCGTCACGTGGAGCTTCTCCTGGGCCTCTCTGCTCTCCTCCTCTTCCTCCGGCTGCAGCTGCGCCCACAGCGCTTGCAGCTCCACCTGCTGCGCCTGCCTGGCCTGCAGCTCCGCCTGCAGAGCCTGCACCACAAACATTACACAGGGTGACGGGGCAGAACAGAAGGAGAATGAATACACAACAAAGCATGGTGGTGTGCTTACTGTGAGTGTGTTGCGGTGTTGTTGCAGCGCTGCCACAGGTGTGTGTGGGTCTCTGATGTCCACTGCGTAGCGCCGGCTCTCTGCGTGGGCCAGCCACAGCAGCAGGGAGTGGAGGCGCTCGTGGAACTCCTGCAGGGAGAAGAAGGGTGAAGACAGTGACGGAAAAATATTAGATGTTCTACTTAAATAATTGTACCAATACTACAGGGAAAAAATACTCGGTTACAAGTAAACATACAGTATTAGCATCAAAATATACTCAACATACCAAAAGTACTTATGCAGAATGGCTCATTTCAAAATGTTATATCATTATTGATGCAGTTGTATGTGCATGGCTTTAATGTTGCAGCTGGTAAAGGTGGATCTGTAATTACTTTATATACTGATCAATCTAAAAACAAATCTTTTATTGATTAAAATCTTCAAAGAAACTAAAGTAGCAGTAGTAATGGTGTATTTAGACTCTCTCCTGACCTGGCAGCGCATCAGCGTGCCCCTCAGGCTGCTGTCCCACAGCTGGAGGCTGGAACAGGCTCTGCTCCACCCTCGGTTCATAGCAGCCGCTCTCTGCAGCTCCGGAGCCCGCAGGTTCACTGACAGCATGATGGACTTGTAGCGGGTAAACATCTTCTGCATCTCCTGCAGCAGAACAGACATGAGTATAAGCAACAGCTGAATGCTGATCATCAGAACTGTTGGATTAGGTCTTTCATTTCACCTTTAGTTCTTTGGCTCTGGCTGCCATGTCCTCGATACTGGCTGCTGGGTCGGACTGCTGGAGGCGCTCCAGCTCCGGGGTGACCTTTTCCAACCAGGAAGTGATGTCATCGAGGTCAGATGAGAGATTTTGGGGCTCCTGAGGGTCGGCGTGCAGGTCGCTCCTGGACTGAGCCTGGATCAGCTCCCAGCGCTCAATCACACCTGAGAGCACGGACAGTAGTGTTTTTGTTTAAAGATGTATTTATATAATCACCGCTGAGCAACTCATTGCATTGATATCTACTTTAAACTGTTCCTTTAAAGCTGAAAATCAGTATCATTTTATATCTAAAACTACAGGTGTTATCTCTCCTAAGAGACGTCTTTTCCCTTGTTATGCAGGTAAAACGTGTTTAACACTCAATTACAATACTGCTATGTTTTGTACCTTAAACGATACAGTGAACATGGAGTCTCCCAGCGTCTCACCTGACTGTTTGTCTGAAGCTGTCAGCCCCGTCAGCCCGAGCTCCTCCGGACGCTCCTCATCATCCAGGATCAGAGAAACTCTTTAATGTCCTCGATGCTGGCCGCTGCACTGAGACATGAGATGCAGCGACTAACACACACACACACACACCACGACCACACACTACACCACACCACACACACATACACACACACACACACACACACACACACACACACACACACACACACACACACACACACACACACACACACACACACACACACACACACACACACACACACACACACACACACACACACCACACACACACACACACACCACACACACACCACACACACACACACACACACACACACACTTTAGAGCTCGAGCTGCAAACTGTATGAAGCATCTACTCACAATTCTCAGTAATTGTTTTGTTAACTGAACGTACATAGCCCTGCTTCCGAGGGGTGCTGGTGAGGGTGGGGGGGGCCTCAGTGTGGCCCTCAGAGTCCAGCTGCAGGGACTGTTTTTCTGCGTCTTCCTGGGACCGCCATCTTGGAGACTCAAGTGCGTCCATGCTTGAGACTGAAAAAACAAGCAAAGAAAAGTCAAACCAAAGACACTCCAGTATTATTTATTCCCTACCAAAAAACATGCACGTGATAAGTACTTCCAAGTTACAAAACGTTATGATATAACAATTGTGAAGTCCAAAGCCAAGAAAATATGCAACCCAAGTTTGAATCAACCGCCACCAGGAAATGAACAGCTTGGTATCTGTGTGGTAGCTTTTACTTTATGGCATATTTCACATGTTTGAGCAGATGCTTCATTTGTATACCTTAGTAATCTGAGGATTTTAACCTATTTAAAGAAACAACATGGCATTCAATGGTCAATGCAAAGATCTTGAGGATCAAGGGTCATTTAGAGTTTTATAAATGTCTAAAAATGAAAGGAGGAGTGAAGTAGAGGAACGGAACGGGGGTAAAACAAAGTGAGGAAGGTCAAAGGGAGGAAGATTAAAGACAGGATGTTGGAAGAGGATCAAAGGTCATGAATGAAGGAGCTGAAATTAACACGACAAAACGGATTGGACCGGTGAATGAAAGAAAGGTTGTCGGGGTAAAATAATTCTGTATTTCTCCCCAAAATGAAAGATATCCAATGATATACAGTTTATTAACTTTAACACAAGTTTGAAAAATACATCTTAAACATAAATGTGTGAGAGAAATAAGGTAGAAAGTGCTTGCGTTGGCAGTGAAGGATGTTCCAAACCACAGCTACAGGAAATAAAGTGTCAGCGACAGCAGCATGACAGACATATGGAAACAGCTGTGAGTGGATTTATTAAGAAGAAGGTGAAGATCTCCTGATGCCTACCCAGAGAGGAGGCTCGCTGGGCCTCTGGGGCCTCGAAAAACTCCTCCTGACTCTCAGTCACCTCTGGGGGAGAGAGGGGGCAGACCAGAGCTGTAGGGATGTGTTTGAGTGTTTGATTGTGTGTGAAATTGATGTCATTTCTTTTTTCACTTTTTAGAAATCCCATTTCATCTGAAGTCTAGCACAGGGGTGTCAAACTCAAGGCCCGGGGGCCAAATCCGGCTCGCGACTTCAATTTTCATGTGGCCCCACAAGAGCTTGCAAAGAATATAATATGTTTATTATACGGTTACATGCCGATTTACAGAAGCACGTTGCCCATAAACTACATGTCCCACAATGCATCTCAAATTTGACTTTTTTCTCTGAATTTGACTTTTCTTTTTAAATCATTTTGTGACATTCTCACTGAAGAGACTTGCAATTATTTGCCCTAGACTTCTGCTTTCAGACGTAGTTAATTCTGAAGTTATTACCCTATCTGATAATAATTCAATGCAGAAGCAATAATATAATATAATACATTATTTTATATATATTATCTATTTATATATGTATTTTTATATAGTCTTTAAGTTACAACCGGCCCTTTGAGTGCAACCATAATGCTGATGTGGCCCGCGATGAAATTGAGTTTGACACCCCTGCAGATTCATTTTGTCAACCAGCAGAACG